TGATTAATGGATGTACGTCCGGCATCGCGTATACCAAACGTGTAGAATCAACGATAAATACCGGGAGTCTCTTGCAGCCGGCAGATTTGTTTGTCATTGAACTCGCAATTGTTATGTATTAATGCCATAGTATTCGCCGAATTACATATTGCACGTGGGCATCGTTGTGGTTCAGATATTTGACCACGCTCAACGTCAACTGTGACAACCTTGTCACATGCACGACATTTAAAATAACCTATGTCAGAATATTAATGTTGAATTGTTAGTACGTAGCCTGAATGGATACCAAATGTGTTTGCTATCAATCTGATCACCTATCGTCATTTCAGGAATTACTGGTGATACCCTAATAAGCAATCCTTTAATTGATACAAGATGGTCGACGTCTACACAATGGATAAGCCAAGGTCAATAGTCGATTTCGTAGAAACACGGCCAACAGCCGAATGCGTTTGTTGTATATACCAGAAGGATTCAAATCTCTCATGTTTGTCGATTTGCCAATGTTAAATGGTCTAACCTGTGAAGGATAGAAGAGTTAATAAGCAATCGAATAATATCAAAAACAACGTTATTGAATTTACTCACTTTAATATTACATTCAATAAAATTTCTATTGAATTGATTTGCATATACTTCGGTAACAACATCATCCAGCGTAGTCAATACTTCTTGAGGATACTTAATTAAATGATGATACAATTTAACAGTAGTAGGGTACGCAAGCAGGTTCTGAAGATCGAGGTTGAATCTGTGATCTTCCGACTCCATAATCTGTAATATATAATCAGACAAACGATAGAAAGATTTACTTGCAAGAATTAAATACAACTACGGATATATATATACACACAATAGACTAAAACAAATCTACTAACCTGCAGTAAGTATCTTGGATAGAAAGGTTCTAGATCTTCTTCATTGACTTCTTGTCCTTCTTTCTCTTTCCTCATCTGCATTTTGAAATTCTCCAAATAGTCTTTGAATGCCACTTTAACCTCGATTAGACTAATAGAACTGCCAGCTATATAAGATATTGTCCCAGCTGGATCGCGAATAGCTCTGGGCCTATCACCAGTATCGCGAAGGCGCAAGTCATTTTCCAATAAACGAGCAATATCTATTGATTGAGAAGGTTGAACGTCACCACGCCGACGCGGAGAAAAGGCCTGACCAGCAAGAGTTATATCATCATAATCAATGCCACCCTTCCGACTTGTGCCAAACTGAGAAATATCGAGCTGCCTACGGGGCGTTGCGGCCAATATCGGCGAATGACCTATATTACCCGACGCAAAATTGTCAGCATGTTGTTTATTATATTAAATCTCACATGCTCGAACGGTCAATACATGGTTAGACGTACTTGCAAGAGTTCTCGACGTAAAATCACTTCTTGGCGACAAGAAGCCCTCGCTCCTTCCACCATCACCAGATAGCGAAGCCACTGACCCAAACGAAGGCGAATGTGGTGATGCCGGTCCGGCACTGACAACGTCGTTCGCGTCCATTTCCATATCCTCGGCCTCTGCCTGCTCCATTGCACTGCTAACCGACGCTGACGTTTGGCCAAAGTTGGAGATAACGCTCCGAACAGTCGTGCCTAGATTACGCAAAGTCTCGGTAATGGCAAACCCGGAAGAAGGCGGCTCGAGTACTTCAACAGCTGCTCGCGGCGGCGAGTCTGCAGAACTGGGCGAGTGCGCGGGGCTGGCAGGTTGGCTATGATCAGACATTGGGAAAGAGTATATGCTTCACGGTTTCTTAGTAGAATACTTTATAGTTAGATGTTGGACAACATTCTCGTCGCGTCTTTCCATGTGTCG